CCCCAAAACCCCAAAACCCCAAAACCCCATGGTTGTGTAATAAATTGATGCCGGGATCTTATCTGAAGTAACTTTACTCGTTGGCTTTGTGAATGGCTTCAAAGATCGTACCGATGGACCAAGCTTGAGCATGACATGAATCTTCACAGTACCCTCCTGCTTCATTAGTCAATTCTGGGAGACTCATCCAAGGTGAGGAATACAAGTGATGCTGGTGAGGGATTAAGTATTTCATAATCTGCTGATCTTTCTTTTCAAAGAAGATTATTCTAGCAATGAGGTAATATCCAAGAGGCCAAACCCATTCAGGCCCATTATGATAATTCCAACCATGAGTCTCATCTGAGTTGTCATAATTTGGCTTGTATGCCATATCAGAAGGACTGAGGGTCTTCATCCCCAAACTTTTGTTTTTAACTAGAGAAGATTAAATTAAAGCTTACTGATGAGTTTTTCACCAAGATTTTCAAGAGCTTCTTGAGCAAATTCCTTAGTGAATAATTCTGGAGCTACTGCCATTGCTAAAACTTGGTTTGGTCTGCATTGATAGTTCCTCCATTCATCCTTTGCACGAGCAACGTCTTTGTAGATACCCCTTTCGTTCACTAAAGAGCTGTTTCAGCCATAAGCGAAATCAAGGTCTGGATCACTAGGAATCCAGTAGAGTCTTTCAAATGACATTTGAAGAGTCTCTGACCATCTTTCATAACTGTACATATTTCCTCTGATTTTGACTCCTTGATATTTAAACTGCTTTTGCTGATATAGTTTATGTAACCACGAGATCACAGAGTAGCATAGCCCAGTGATTTCTATTGGTGCACCATCCCTTGGAGAACCAGGGATACCTTTGTTCTCAGGAGCAGAGCCCATTTTATCCATCCAAGTTCCACAATTATGTGGGTTTCCTCCAGTTATGAGTCCTGTTGTAAGATCAAGCTCAATGTGAATATTAAAGCCTTCGTACTTCATGTGTTCATCAATTGCCGAGCCTGCATTCCACTCTCTAAAGTTGATGCCTTGGGCATGCTTTTGGAGGATTTCTTGTATCAGCTCAGCGATTGTGCATTCTTTCTCAGGCTTGTCATCATCAGACGCTTCATTATGCTCGCTTTGGATGTCAGAGTGGAATGTTCTGGTAAATTTTTGACTCAAAAATGCAACTCCTTCAGTAGAATTCTGTACGTAATCTTTTATCGATTGGAGGAATAGCCATGTTGCATCCCTAGCATTGAATCTAGTGTTATGCCCTCTATCGTGCAAGTTAGGAATCAGACCATGCCTAGAAACCTTTGCATAGTATAGGATAGTCTCTCGAGCATCCTTGTAATATTTTGGGACTAGTAAGAGACCGTTGAAGGCAATAAATGTATCTCGACCCCAACATCTCATATATTGGGTAGAAAAATGTGGAAGACCAGCTGACATTGAGTTTTCAAGTTCTCCAAATTTAGCACTATTGACCTTCCCATAGAATTGACTCACAGATTCGTACAAGTTAATTGTGAATGGGTCTTCAGAGATCCACCTTGCAGTCTCATGGTCTAATTGAGATAATTGTCCAAGAATAAAGGCATCCCAGAGATATCAAATAATCTTAGAGAAATAATGAGGCTTCGACCTATTTGGTAATTCTTTTACATTGCTAAACAGAGCATCTAAAATTGGGACAAGGAAATTTGTATGCTCATTATCGCTAAATCTACCTATTATGTAGTCCATAATCCAGTTTCCTTCCCTCAGGTTGTTAAATAGAGGGTGCCCAAGATCTTGTGTTTCCTTCAAAGATCGCAAAATATGAGTTACACTTGCAATCCCTGCATAGACCATTGGTGCATGAGGGATTGTGTAAGCCCCTCTTTTTCCTAAGGTATAATCCTTTTCTTCTTCATCGCATTTATAAAGTGCATAATTGAGTGTTGGAAGATCGATATCCTTGAACTCTTTCATTTCAAGAAGTTCTAAAGACTTTTCATCAATAAATTCATGTCTTTTGATATCTTCATTTCCAGAGGAAGCTCTAATGACAACTACAAAGCCTGCTGGCATTCTTGTGAACTTGATATAGTCGAATGAATTTCCTTCGATGATTTCTCCAAATCCTTGGAGACCAGGAGCCATGTGGACTTCACCTTCAAACGGAACGATGCGTTCTGGGTTGTCAACTTTGTCGAAATAATGGTTAATTTTGTTGAAATCTATTATGGCATAAGCTCAGAGCACCACTTTAGTCACTTTTCCGGGTAGCTCAATTGTTGTGTCGAGCTTGTCAGATTCCAAGTGTTGGAAATTAGACCTCGCAATTACTGTGTATGAGTCATAATCAGTGTTGATATTGTCATTCAGCCTCCTTACAATTTGGATAATATCCCACTCTTTTACATGATGGAGGAAGATGGGTGAGTGGTCATTGTTGCATTCATCATGGATTTCCGACATTATCTTCCTGATTGGTCTGAAGTCAGTGATTATTTTGTGCCCTTCACCATATACTTCAATAAAATTGTTTCCGTCAGGCCCGGCTATGGGGTAGATATTTGAAGAAGTCCATTCGTTATCTTTGATAAACTTGAATTGGTGTATTCCTGGTTCAGAAATATCAAAAGTCCATCTACCTTCGTCTTGTTGCATTCTTTCTGGCTGCCAATTGTTGAAAGTACCGGCAATGTCTACATATTCAGCATCAAAAGCATAGAACTCTATAGTTTTGGTGTTTGGGTTGTACTCTGAGGGCCCTGAATTTTCAGAGTCTTCTACTTGGTACAGCCTCATTTCTTTAACAATGTGTAAATTCTTGGGCAATAGGATATCAAATCCATATGTGGAAGCTATTGAGCAACACAAAACTGAGCCAAGTGCTAAATGTGGAAGAGAAATTGTTCCTGGTGGGAACTTCTCAATTGTAGAAGAGTTATCATGAGTCATATCATAGAACACAGGGAGGGGATACCTCTGTTTAATTTTTCTGTATATTTCCCCAGTAGAATGGTCTAGATAATGATCATCAAGTTTCCCAATTATATACTCTCTGCATCCTCCATATCCATGGTATTGTGCTGAGAGTTCTTGACAATTGCCAAAGTTCTGCATTTCTCTAATTAAGCCATTGATTCCAAGCTCTCTTGTAGCTTCAGCTTCTGACTGTCTGTTATTCGTGAAGAACTCTGCTAGAACAAAGCTATTCTGATTAGTTGATCGAAGCTTTTGAAGCAGGTATTTAGCAATATGCTTTGGAGTAGAGTGAGCATTGTCTATCCTAACCCCATCAAATATTTTACCAAGCCCTGTAAGATATTCGGTCATTCTTTTCCATAAGTAAGGAGAGTCTGCTGGTTTCTTTCCGTATCTAAGCTTAATACAGTCTCCCCAAGCGATGATGTATCTTCTGAGGTAAAACCAGCATTTGTTGTCGCAGAAATCTTGCTTTGATGCATCACCTCCCATGCTCCATCCGTTATGGACACATTTAGTTTTCTGAGGGTTGTCAAGCTCTCTAAAGTAAGATGTAGTCATTCTCTGATCCGGTGCTCTAAGCTTGGGATCGTTCAGAACCATTTTATGATACTCAATTTCTCCCCTCAGAGCATCATAAGCCTCGCCCATGAATCCGTGGATCATGTTCTGGGCATCCATATTGTACTGTTTAAGAATGTGATGAATTTTGTCATAGTAGAACTCATCGTCCTTCCCTGGAATTACCTTCTCTACAGCCTTTAGAAGATGAGAGTAGTCTACACTGACACCAAGCCTGCTAGCTCCTTGATTTATGACAATATGCCAGATGAATCCGCTAAAATCCTTCTCACGAGTGATGGTGACTTCAGAGGATTTCTTCAACCTAAGTTCAGCTAGGTCTTGCTCCTGAGGAAACTTATCAGGGTCTATTAAGAAGAACTCCTCTATTTTTAGCTTCTCGATAATATTAGTCTTTATGTACGCCATTACTTCTTCCAGTTGTTCCTTTGTCTTTATATGCGGAGCATATGGAAATTCAGGAAGTTCCTTCTTGTTGAACTTTATGTCGAAATCTTCGATAGCTTTGTCCAAGACATAGGCACTTGTCAAATGAGGGCAGTTATCTGTATTGTAAGTTGCCTCCGGATGCTCCTTTACCCATGAGCTGTTGCCAGCAGTGTGGTTGAGAACAATGTCGATGAAAAATAGCATTCCTGATTCTATCTGCATTTTGTTAATGTGATATTTTAACTTTTCAAACTTTTCTTCAGTCGTAAGCGAGCTAGAGTCTTCAAAATACCAATCATCAATGCTCAATTGATCAGCTATCGAATAATGGCTCATTGATTCTCCATAATGCTGGATTGGAGTGAGATGGATTGCGTTGTAGCCAAGGTCTCTCTGGGTATAAATAAATTCTTCCCACCTATCTAATACTCCTAATGATCTTGAGAGCACTGTTTGAATTCTGAGAGAACTAACATTTGTATGGGTATCTCCTTTGTCCAAATCAGGGTCTAGCTGAATCCACTGAGGTTCTGTATATCAATTCCCAGAGTATTTGAATTGGAAGAAATATACACCAGGATACAGAAGAGATACATTGAAGTGCTGTGCTCCTATTCTGTTAGTATCTGGGGATACTTCCGTATACGAATTAAGCACTTCAAATTCAGGATCTTCCTCGCTTAAAATACTACTATGAGCATCTTCATCATTCCCTGTGATAAAAGGCTCTCTGAGGGTATATATAATTTCCCCTTCTCTGGTTAAATGTGGAAGATTTATGATAAGTTCAGCTGCTTCTCACTCCAAAGCGCCTCCAGGGAGGATGATCTTCAACTCAGATGCAGTGGGAATATAATAAACCTTCTCTGGATCTCTATTAATAATTTTCCCGAACTCATCGCAGAAGACATATAGGATTTGCGAATCTTTTCTTCTCTCCATATTAAAAATATTCTATAAATTCCTAGGCAGTTGGGGTTTTGGGGTTTTGGGGTTTTGGGGTTTTGGGG